AGTATGTGAACCTTTGGACTTAATAACTGGTTGACCCTCCTTTGGCAGCAATAACCTCAACCAAACGTTTCCTGTAGTTGCAGATCAGACCTGCACAACGATCTGGAGTCATTTTGGACCACTCCTCTTCACAAAACTGTTTCAGTGTAGCAATATTCTTGGGATGTCTGGTGTGAATCGCTCTCTTAAGGTCATGCCACAGCATTTCAATCGGGTTGAGGTCAGGACTCTGACTGGGCCACTCCAGAAGGCATATTCTGTGCTGTTGCAGCCATTGTTTTGTTGAATTACTTGTATGCTTTGGGTCATTGTCCTGTTGCATCACCCATCCTCTGCGGAGCTTCAGTTGGCGGACAGATGGTCGTACGTTTTCCTGCAAAATGTCTTGATAAACTCTGGAATTCATTTTCCCATCAATGACAACAATCCGTCCAGGCCCTGAGGCAGCAAAGCAGCCCCAAACCATGATGCTCCCTCCGCATGTTTCACAGTGGGGATGAGGTTTTGATGTTGGTGTGCTGTGCCTTTTTTTCTCCACACATAGTGTTGTGTGTTCTTCCCAAACAACTCAATCTTGGTTTCATCTGTCCACAGTATATTTTGCCAGTAGTCCTGTGGAAAATCCAGGTGCTCTTTTGCAAACTTCAAACGTGCTGCAATATTCTATTTGGACGGCAATGGCTTCCTCCGTGGTGTCCTCCCATGTACTCCATTCTTGTTTAATGTTTTCCTTATTGTAGATGTGTCAACAAAAATGTTAGCATGTGCCAGAGATTTCTGTAGGTCTTTAGCTGACACTCTGGGATTCTTCTTTACCTCATGCAGCATTCTGCGCTGTGCTCTTGCAGTCATTTTTACAGGACGACCACGTCTAGGGAGAGTAGCAACAGTGCTAAACTTTCTCCATTTGTAGACAGTCTGTCTTACCGTGGACACATGAACATCAAGGCTTTTGGAGATACTTTTGTAACCCTTTGCAGCTTCATGCAAGTCAACAATTCTTGATCATAGGTCTTCTGAGAGCACTTTTCTGCGAGGCATAGTTCACATCAGACAGTGCTTCTTGAAACCAGTAAACCCCTAACAGGTGTGTGTTTTTTAAGGGCAAGACAGCTGTCAGCAACACATCCAATATCATCACACTGATTGGAGTCAAGGTTGGCTCACTCCTGGCTCCAATTAGCTCTGGGAGAGGTCATTAAGCTAGGGCCTCACATACTTTTTCCTCCCTGCACTATGAATGTTTACATGTTATGTGCAATTAAACCATGGCAACATCTAATGTTTGTGTAGTCTTATGTTCAGCAGACTGTGTTCTTCTATTGTTGTGACTTAGATGATGTTCACAGCACATTTTATGCCCAATTCATGCAAAACTCCACGTAATCCCAAGGGGTTCACATACTTTTTCTTGCAACTGTATCTACATGGAACTGTTCATAATACGCTTTACATTGTTATTTTACATTATTAAAAAATGTAACAATGTTACATTACTTTACATTGTTATTTTATTTGTGTGATAGAATAAAATCACACTTCATTTTTTATTTCAATGGCTCTTTCATTCATAATCACCTCAAGACACTAGAAGAAGTATTATATGTGTCTAAAATCCAACATCCACAAGTTTTACCATGTGCTTGGCTGAAGAAGTTCTTTTGGTGAAAGAAGTCACAAGACTGCTCTAACTGCTGATGAGAAAAGGTATATAGCAGATTATATCTACTAAAATAATTGCATTTCCATGTTGTGTGTACTGTGGGAGACCAGATGGAGTGAATGAAGTGTGATGGGTTTAGTAACACTTTAAGCAGTCCATATATTATGCATTTTTCTTTCCTTCCACCATGGAAAATTATTCAATTCCCCAATCATCACAGCCAGTCAATCCCTCCCATAGCACTATTGTGTTCTGCCTGTGGGGATGATCGCTGCTGGCAGCTATAGCCACCAGCAGTGATTACATAATAAAACTCTCTAACAGGCTGGTTGTACTGAAATTGATTAATGGATTGACTTCAGTACAACCAGCCTGCCCATAGATGGATTGAATCCAGACTGGTCCTTGTTGAACCAACTGAGATTCGATCCATCTATGGCTGGTTTTAGTGCTTTGCATTGAAACAAGTACACACTATAGAGGGATATCCTTTGTTCATATTTCATGTGTGAAGTTTACAACCACTTTAAATTGATTTTACTGCTTGTTCAGAATCTGTAGATACTTTAGTGTGCATAATAAAGCTGCAAGTTCATTTTTAGCTTTATTGCAACACCGATTCTTCAGAATTTTGTTTCAGAAAAACTGCACAGACAAATACTAAAGTAAATATTTCTGTAGAATTATCTGCTCTTTGTGCAATAGGGGTGAGAAGCCACTGACCTCTCATTTACCTCCTGCATTGAGTGTGTCAGCTGACATTCCAGCATTTTATTTGCTGGATGGTTCCAATTTGAGAATGATATCATGAACCGACATGACAAAGCCCCAAAGGACCCTCTGGATCACTGAAACACTCTTTCCGACTGCAGGAGCCTGATGAGTTCAGTAGATCCTGCATCCTCAATGCTTAACTGCCACAAATCATCATACAGTATAGCACAACTATATCAGAGATATGTGCATGCTTTAAAGATTCCAAAAACTGAAGATGACTTTATATAATATTCATATGGGTGAAAATTACGGGAAAACTGTATAATAATAATAATAAATTCATACAAACAGCAGACTTCAAAGCATGTTTCCTAAATCCAATTTTATGTTGATGGTCAAAAGGGCTTTTTTTCCTCAGAGAATAGGTGCAGGAACTCCTCCCTTCTGAATCATTTCTTGTCTCTGCCCCCAACCCACCTCTGAGCACCGTCCCTTAGTTTTACCCCCTACCCAGCTCCCAGTACCGCTCCTTATAGAGAATACGCAGCCAACTATCATTTTGTGGCGCTAAGTAATTTGTATTGAATTTGTTAATGATAACAAGAAAAGCAGTAAAATAGATCCCCTGCACCCAGCAACAATAGACCCCCCAGCAACATTAGATCTACCAGCAACAATAGATCCCTCAACAACAATAGACTTCTAGCAACAATACTCACCTCCCAGTACCGCTCCTTATAGAGAATACGCAGCCAAATATAATTTTGTGGTGCTAAGTAATTTGTATTGAATTTCTTAATAACAAGAAAAGCAGTAAAATATATCCCCTTCACCCAGCAACCATAGACTCCCCAGCAACATTAGATCTATCAGCAACAATAAATCCCTCAGCAACAATACCCACCTCCGAGTACCGCTCCTTATAGAGAATACGCAGCCAACTATCATTTTGTGGCGCTAAGTATTTTGTATTGAATTTGTTAATGATAACAAGAAAAGCAGTAAAATAGATCCCCTGCACCCAGCAACAATAGACCCCCCAGCAACATTAGATCTACCAGCAACAATAGATCCCTCAGCAACAATAGACCTCTAGCAACAATACTCACCTCCCAGTACTGCTCCTTATAGAGAATACGCAGCCAAATATCATTTTGTGGTGCTAAGTAATTTGTATTGAATTTGTTAATAACAAGAAAAGCAGCAAAATATATCCCCTTCACCCAGCAACCATAGACCCCCCAGCAACATTAGATCTATCAGCAACAATAAATCCCTCAGCAACAATAGACCTCCAGCAACAATACCCACCTCCGAGTACCGCTCCTTATAGGGAATACGCAGCCAAATATCATTTTGTGGTGCTAAGTAATTTGTATTGAATTTATTAATGATAAGAAAAGCAGTAAAATAGATCCTCTGCACCCAGCAACAATAGACCCCCCAGCAACATTAGATCTACCAGCAACAATAGACCTCCAGCAACAATACCCACCTCCCAGTACCGCTCCTTATGGAGAATATGCAGCCAAATATCATTTTGTGGTGCTAAATAATTTGTATTGAATTTGTTAATAACAAGAAAAGCAGAAAAATAGATCCCCTGCAACCAGAGCCACCACATGAGTTAGACCAGCTCTGAGGCTTTCAAATACACTGGAATTTCAATCAATAAATACCACAATTGTGAAATGTTTCTCTGGAAAAGCTCTGTTTACTTTTCGTGTGACAAACCGTTTATCCATGGCAAAGTGTGCCAACTGCAATCTGTAGACTATACATATATGTGTGTGGCCTAGCTAGCGCACTCCAAAGCTATATGCACCAAAAGGAACCACAAAAAACCTTTCTAGAATAAGCAAATGTAAATAAAGTGCAGCGCTAAAATAAGTAATAACCAATAAGAAATGAATCTTATACAAGTAATAAATAGAAATAAAGAGTCCAAGGTGGTATATTATGACTTAATCGGTATGAACACTGCTCCAGCATCCCGATGTGAAAGAATGGAAAGATTGCCCACTCACCGGAAGCGCAATCTTCATGCGCATATAGAGATCTCAGATGGCTGGAGGTCCTATGTAGGTACTGCCTGGTACTAGAATGATCCTCAGGAGGTCCCTCTGTTTGGTGGTGGGTAACGGATATGTTGGTCTGGTCTAACGGCTTGCTTCCTAGGCCTGGACAGGTCACCTGGAATACTGGGCTGAGGTGTGGAAGCTCAGTGCAAAGCAATAAAGATATAGGTGCTCATAGTGTAGTATTCCAAAGGATTTATTGAGCATAAATTATTGGTGGTATATAAAAACAGGTACAAATGAAAATAAAACACAGGGTGACTGTGAATAGCAATGCAGCATGGACTGCTGAATACACTGACCAGTGTGATTCATATGATGGCCGCCCATAAGGAAATGACGGGCGCAAGGTGGTTCTCTCATTCTGGGAGGACACAGCGGATCATTGATGAATGGAAAGAGCCAAAGACGTCGGCTCTGTCATGTGATCAGCTGTGTCCAATCACAGTTGATTGCATGTAAATAAGGAAATGCCAGTTATCGGCATTTCTCTCCTCATGAGTGGTCACGCTGACAGCACGTTAGCAGAGGAGAGAAGAGGGGACATGTACACTGATAATCAGGGCACTGATGATCAGTGTGCCATGATGATCAGTGTCACCCCAGAAGTGCCACCTGTCAGTGCCCATCGATGCCACCTGTCATTACCCATCAATGGTATCTGCCAGTGCCCATCAGTGCCACATCAATGCCACATATCAGTGCCTACCAGTGCACATCAATGCCACAAATCAGTGCCCATCTGAGCTGTCTTTCAGTGCCACCTATCAGTGCCAGTCAGTGCCACCTATCAATGCCAGTCAGTGTCGTCTATCAGTGCTGCCAATCAGTGCCAGTCAGTGCCACCTATCAATGCACATCAGTGCCGCCTATCAGTGCCCGTCAGTGCTGCCTATCAGTGCCACCTAACAGTGCCAGTCAGTGCCACCTATCAGTGCACATTGTAAAAACAATAATCCAAATTGGTGTATGTACTTTAGTCTGTGTGAATGTTATAGTCTACAAACTATGGTATACAGTGGGGAAAATAATTATTTGATCCCCTGCAGATTTTGTAAATTTGCCCACTGACAAAGAAATGAAGGGTCTATAATTTTTATCCTAGGTGTATTTTAAATTATAGAGACAGAATATCAACTAAAGATCCAGAAAAAATACATAATACAAATTTTCTAATATGAGTTGTGGTTCAGTGAGTAAAATAAGTAATTGATCCCCAAGCAAAACAAGACTTAGTACTTGGTGAAGAAACCCTTGTTGGCAAGCAAGATGTTGAGGTAAGACGTTTCTTGTAGTTGGCACATCTGAGGAGGGGTTTTGGTCCACTCTTCTTTACAGATCTTCTCTAAATCCTTGAGGTTTCTTGGCTGTCGTTTGGCAACTCGAAGTTTCAGCTCCCTCCCTAATGCTTCTTCTTGAGCTACTCCTTTGTTGCCTTGGCGGTATGTTTTGGGTAATTTTCATGCTGGAAGACCCATCCACGACCAATCTTCAGTGTTCTGGCTGAGAGAAGAAGGTTCTCATCAAAGATTTTACAATACTTGACCCCATCCATTGGCCCCTCAATGCGGCAAAGTCGGCCTGTACCTTTAGCAGAGAAACAGCCCCAAAGGATAATGTTTCCACCTCCATGCTTGACTGTAGGGATGGTGTTCTTAGGGTCATAGTCAGCATTTTGCTTCCTTCAAACATGGCAAGTCGAGTTAATGCCAAAGAATGGTCTCCTCTGACCACAACACTTTGTCCCAATCCTTCTCTGCATCATTTAGATGTTCATTGGCAAACTTCAGACGGGCCTGTACATGTGCCAGGTGAACCTTGCGGGCGCTGCAGGATTTCCATGGTGGCGTATTGTCTTACCAATGGTTTGCTTGGTAACTGTGGTCCCAACTGCCTTGAGATCATTTACAAGCTCCTCCTATGTAGTTCTGGACTGATTTCCCACTTTTCTCATGATCATCCTTACCCCATGAGGCCAAATCTTGCATGGAGCTCCAGACCGAGGGAGATTGATGGCTATTTTGTATTTTTCCCATTTGCAAATAATGGCTTCAACAGTTTTCTCCTTCTCACCAAGCTTCTTGCTGATGGTCTTGTAGTCCATTCCAGCCTTGTGCAGGTCTACAATTTTGTCCATGATGCCCATGGTGGAGCCCAGGAAAGAGATTCTGTGGACAGGTGTCTTTTATACACATAACGAGTTGTTGCTAGGAGCACCTTCTTAAATTGACATGACTAATTTGTGTACCACATGAGCACATAGCCTGTGGGAGCCAGAATTATTGTTCATTGGTAGGGGATCAAATACTTATTTTACTCACTGACCTGAGACTCCATTTATAACATTTGAATCATGTTTTTTTCTGGATTTTTGATTGATATTCTGTCTCTATCATTTAAAATACACCTATGATAAAAAAAATTATAGACCCTTAATTTCTTTGTCAGTGGGCAAACTTACAAAATCTGCAGGGGATCAAATAATTATTTTCCCCACTGTATATATCTGAAAATTTAACAATTCTGATGTACTGATGGTCTATCTCATTTCTTGAGACACTACAATGACCCTTTTTGGAAAGCAGACACCCTGTGTCAGGAAGGGACTTGCCAGTAATGGTGGGACTCACCTGCCTTGTGGGCTGCAGTACCAGGGCTGGCCAGCGGGTGCTCCCAGCAATCAGAGACTCAACCCTGCAGCCAGCCAAACACCTGAAGCTGATTATGCAGGTGTATTTAAGGGATGGCCAGACCTGCAGTCTGGGCCTTGGTGTGTGTTTTCCTGGGCCCCTGTATCTTGTTACCTGCATCCCTGTTTCTGTCCCTGTCTGACTGATTCGTTGCCGACCCTGCCTGATCCAGACCTCTGCTGACTTCTCCTGTTTTATCCCTGGCTTGTGACCCCGACCATTCTCTGCCTGACCCCCTGTACCTACCTGCCCGTTAGTTGCTGTACCCGGCTCGTGACCTGACTACTCTCTGCCTGCTCCTCCTGTTCCTACCTGCCCGATTGTTATTGACCCGGCCTGCCTGACGACGCTTGCATTGTATGTATTGTTATCTGTGTGGGTGGTTTGGTTCGTTTGCACTGTGTTATGTTTTAGTATTGCACTGCGTTTATGTATTGTTAGTGTTAATAAATTATATTGTTTATAACATATCTGAAGCCTGCGTTTCCCTGTGTCAGTTCACATACCTCTGGTCATACCTGGAGCCCTGACACCCTGTCAGGGCTCCAGGTATGACCAGAGGTGTGTGGACTGACACAGGGAAACACAGGCTTCAGGTATAGTATAAACAATACAATTTATTCAAGACTAAACAATACATAAACGCAGTGCAAGACTAAACATAAACACAGTGCAAACAAACCAAACCTCCAACAGATAACAATAAGAACAATACTAAACGTAGTCGGGCAGGCGGGTCGGTAGCAAACGGGCAGGCAAGGTACAAGGAGCAGGCGGAAGAGTAGTCAGGAATAGCCGAGGTCAGTACAGGCAGAGTTTATGCAGAGTCAGGATTCAAGCAGGCAGGATCAGGATACAGGGGCCAGGGGGAAACTATACACCAAGGCACTGACTGCAGGCCTGGCCACTCCTTAAATACACCTCCTGCAATCAGCCTCAGGTGATGACTTGATTGCAGGAGTGAGCTTCTGGCTGCTGAGAGCACCCGCTGGCCAGCCCTGGTACTGCAGCCCACACGGCAGGTGAGTCCCACCACCAGTGGTGAGTCCATTCCTGACACACCCTAAGGTATTTAGTAAGGGGCATGGTGAGTTTTTTGAAGTTGTAATTTTATTCTCACAATCTTTTGAAAGATGAAGAAAATAAATACATTTTTTTCATTTGTTTTTCACATATTGTCACCAGAGCAATACAGCATCATCATATGGCTGGGGTGGTGGTGATAGCGAATACTGACTAGTGGCATGTATAAAAAAAAAGAAAGATTTTTTTTTCCCTTTTTTTAAATTTTTTTTCGTTATTTATAATTTTTTTATTACATACTGTGACCAGAGCAGTGCAGTGTTACGATAATAACACTGTACTACTCTGGGGAGGTGATCAGGATTTTTTTTGTAACACTATGATTGCCTATAACAGTGATGGTCACTGTTATAAGCAACCATATTTATGAATGGTATCCATGGTATCCATTATGTACTATTGGGATAGCTGTGATTGGCCACAGCTATCACATGGTACAATGTGTTGATATTGTCTGTACCATGTGATCACTGTGACCAATCACAACAATCATCACAATATTACACAATGAATGGCTATGAATGAAAGCAATCACATGATATTGAGGCCTGCCCGGTGCACCAATCTGTCTTTTGCTGTGTCCGCGACTGGGAGCATGTCAGATAACATCCCCCCAGAACCAGGGAGCTTCTGCCCAGCTGTCGTATTACTATAAGCAGTTAAATTAATGATGGGCTGTTTACATGTAGTTGCACACAAAGCAGTTACCTGCAGTTAGGGATGGATGTCCAAGCCTGGACACAGCTGCCTGACATCTGTCCCTAACCATAGGTAACAGCTTTGTGTTTGGCTACATGCATCATTAGTTTAAAAAAGCTGAGCAGCCACTGCTATTCACATGCCCTGGTCATTCCAGCCACAAGAATCCGCTCATTCTTGCTGTTGGAATCCAGTGGCCAAGGCCGTGGATAAGGGTGTACCACCAGTCCTCCTGTACAGGGCCCAGGTCAGCAGGAGGGCCCAGGCAACTAGGTGAAATGGATGTGGGCGGGGAGAGTGATTAGCACAGCATGGGGGGCAATTACTAGAACCATTCCCCTGTATGGCTCTCTCTTCAGCAGCTGAAAGCTGGCTTCTTCTCCTCTCCCTCCTGCTGGCTTTCAACTGCTATAAAGAGAGCAATACAGGCGATCGGTTCCAGTAATTGCCCCCTGCCGCACCCATCACCCTCCCTGTACACCAGGGATGTCAAACTGGCGGCCCTCCAACTGTTGTGAAGTGCCATCATACCTCTACCTTCATGCTTGTAACTGTCAATGTTGCAATGCCTCATTGTAGTTTGGCAACAGTTGGAGGGCCGCCATTTTGACACCTGTGCTGTACACCATACATTTCCCACTGTTGCCCAAGCCCCCCTGTGTGCCCCCCCCCCTGCAGTGCTGCTTGCTTCTCTCTTCTCCTCACCACTGGCAGCTGCAAGCACACAATATAATGCATCAGGATGGAGAGTGGGGGAAGGGTCACATTTACCAGCCCCTTCCTTTCCCGAATGAACACAATGAGTGATTGGCACCAATCACTAACTGTGTTCATTCATAACCAAAGCATAATAAACTGTGGGGGGGGGGGTTGAGGTTGAGGGGGGGCTGTCAGGTTGGCTGTAAGGGGCCCTGTGGTTTCTAACAGCAGCCCTGCCAGTGGCTGCCTGTAAATGACCATATGAAGGAGACCTTAGAGTATCTGTAATAGCCAAAGATTCAGTCCTATTGGACCCTGAATAGGCAGTTATCAAGGCTTAGCCATGAAATCAGAGGAAGCCAGGTCCTCAGTAACAAAGTAAAATTAGATCAGAGAGGTCCTCAAAAGACTATTAAAGCATACATAAGGCCAAACTTTCTTGTCTATTTTGTGTTCTTTTGGGAATTTTTTTATTTCCGGTATCAAGACAAAGGAAGACATGGGATAATTTCCTTCCAAAGAAAGGGGGATTCTCTCTTAGACAGTTGTTACTGGAACAGGTGGCTTCTTGGGAAGATATGCCCTTTATTTATATTTCAATGGCAACTCAAATTTTCGGATTGGTCTCAGTTTCAAATATAGAGGGTGAATCTCCCCTCTGAGTAAATGGACACCAATTTCAACTAATCTACCCTTTCCCTTCCTTATCCAAAACTGAAAATGATTT